AAAGAACCTGAAGGGCTATAAAGAAATGTTAATTGTAAAAACAACAGGAAAACTACCGATTATATATTACAAATGTAATCCATGTGAAATGAAAAACTTTTTAAAAGCACAGTGTAAGGTTTTTAGATACAAAAAGTAAAAAATGAATAAATGATGAGGAATTAATTATCAAAAGTTCAAAAATACATTCTTGTTGAAAATTCATCAGTGTTATTATCAAATAATACTACATGGTTGATCTGTAAAGGACACAGTTACCTAAGTAAACTCACAACTTTGAGTTGCACCCCTGACTTCCTGGAGGAAATCAAGGTCAAGTTTCCCAGCTTGTCCAGGCCTGGTAGCTCCTTAGGCTCTGAGATCAGTGAATTCAGTGTCACTCCTGCTGACTTACCACTGTCTCCTTTCCATCCCTACTCCATTTCAGGTCTTCAGTGTGGAGCAGGGAGAACTTGTCCAGTCAAGGCAGCTGGGGACCCAGGGACATCTTGCACATCTGTAAATCCCAAGGCAGTATTTCAACTCCTCTGATTGTGGATGAATCAAACATTATTCATCTGCCTCCAAAGTGCCCAGTGGTCTACTTCCACTGCCCTCCCTCTTCTTGAAGTGGCTTCTTGGGCTTAGAGATGGCATTCCCTTTGACCTCCAGAAAGTGGAGCCAGGAAATGGTGAGTTCATTGGAAAAATTCTTGGAATAAATACGGTAAAGCTGGATATGAATTATTGGGGGACAAGTTGTGTGCTGTGTGACTGTGGTTCCTCAATGAAAAACAGAGGTGGCCAAGGAGGCTGAGAAACTGAGTCCTGGGGGTGTCCTAAGGCCCTGGTACACTGGCACTGGAACCTGTTCACTATACATGGTTGGCTTTTCAAGAATTAGATGCCTGGGGTCACCCTCCTCGTGTGCCTTTCAGAGCTGGCACCATGGGTCCTTGACGTTCAGCGTTGAATGGTAAGTCTCCTGAGCAAAGCCTGAAGATGAGGAGCTCTGGCCATGAAGCCTGAGAGCTGGCCTTACTGAGCCATTTTTGTCCCATCACTAGTTTTCTTGACTTCCCATTGGCACTAGGGAATCTTCTGTGAGTTCTTAAAGTAAAGCTGCCTTTGCTGCATGGCATTGAGGGTATGTAAAAGCAGACAGAGTTCTTATGTTAAGGTCCTGACTGTGGGTCCTGGCTGGTGTTTATGTTCTTCCTTTATCACCAGATGTGTAGATGATGTGTCCAGCTGGAGCCTGAGTGGGTTTTCCAGAGTTTTTATTTCCTCCAGTGGGGAATTCTTTTGCCTTGAAGCTTTCAGGTGTGTGGAAAGCATGAATTCCCAATCTAGGACCTTGTTCTCCCACCTATGCCTTGAGCTGGTATTTAATATCTGTAACTTGTGACTGTTCTCCACAGTCTTGAATTGTTGTTAGGTGCCCTCGTGTCAGTCCTGACTTGTAGTTTGCCTGTGTACAGCAGAACAAAGCACTGCCTCTTCCTGTGCGGTTCTTGCAATCCTTGCTCTACCTGAGCCCATCATTGCAGCCACTGGGTCAGTCTGTCTCATTGGAGTGTCTTCCCCTTTTTTTGTTGACTCTCTACTTTACCAAACATACAACACTTTTCCAGGGACCGGTCCCTTCTTACCACATGACCAAAGTAGGTGAGACAGAGTCAGGCCATTCACACTTCTAAGGTGCATTCTGGCTGTACTTCCAAGAGAGATTTGTTCATTCTCCTGACAGTCCATGATATTTTCAGTATTCTAAGTCAACACCACAATTCAAATATATATTTTTTCCTGTCTTCCTATTCATTGTTCAGCTTTTACATGCACATAAGCAGAGTGTTTAAGTCATTTGACTACTAACCAGAAGGCTGGAGGTTCAAACCCTCCAGCCACTCCTTGGAAGGAAGATTGGGAAATCTACTTCCATAGTGGAGAGCTCTGGTGGCATAATGCCTTAGTGCACATAAGCATAGTGCCTAAGTTATCTGACTGCTAACCAGAAGGCTGGCGGTTCAAACCCACCAGCCATTCCTCATTAGGAAGACTATACAATCTACTTCCGTATAGCTCCTGCCTCGGAAACCCAAGTAGGAGTTCCCACGAATAGTAATACTGCCTTGGAAACCCAAGGAGGGGTCACTTTGAGTTGTATCCAACTGGACGGTAGTGAGTGTGATTTTTGGAAGGTTATTGAAAATACCATGGCTTGGGTGTGTTGTTGTTGTGTTATGTGCCGTTGAGTCAGACCCGACTCATAGCAATCCCTCCTTGGGTTTCCGAGGCAGTATCACTACGGAAGTAGTTTGCTCCATCTTCCTTCCAAGGAGTGGCTGGTGGGGTTGAACCACCAGCCTTCTGGTTAGCAGTCAAGTGCCTTAGGCACTATGCTACCAGAGGCTTGGGTGTGGCACACCTAATTTTCAAAATTACAACTTTGCTCTTCAACACTTTAAAGAGATCTTTTTGTTTTCCCACTCTATCCAGTATTTACTGATCCTTTTCTGCTGGTTGATTGTGGTAGCCAGTCACCATCTAGTTCTTCTGGTCTTCTGGTCATACAGGCTGAGGTTTTCATTGTGCAATAGTCCATTGTACTAATTGGTTCCATGCATGTTTGGGTTTTTTCTTTTTTCTGGATGAGGAGAGGCCCCTTTTTGCATCTAGTTGTCCATTTGCAAGCTTTAAAGACCCAAGTCACTACTCACTAAAGTGGGATGTAGAACATTTCAGTGTAGTGTATCATAAGTATTGTGGTTCATGTCCCCTGAGAGGATGATGCCAAACCCACAGGTCCAACTACTTGCTTCCTCAGGGTGGTTTGTTGCGGCCAAGAAGTTATCATAACCTTGCCCATTGTTAGTTCTATTATATATACTGGACGTAGTTACAGCATATACATATGTAGAAATATTTTCTGCTAACCATATATTTGAAGTTGATTGAAGATTGTCAGTGTTGACATAAATTTTGATAACAATGAGTCAGATCCGACTCATAGCGACCCCTCCTTGGGTTTCTGAGGCAATACCACTACGGAAGTAGATTTCCCAGTCTTCCTTTCCCAGAGTGGCTGGTGGGTTTGAACCACCAGCCTTCTGGTTAGCGGTCAGATGCCTTAGTCACTATGCTTATATGTATGTAAAAGGTGGACAGTGAATAAGAAGACAGAAGAGTTGATGTATTTGAATTGTGGTGTTGACTTAAAACACTGAATATTGAATACTGGAGCTTGAAGTTATAAAGGACTGTATATTACTCAGGAACTCTGGTAGTGTAGCGCCTAAGGCACTGGACTGCTAAGTAGAGGGCTGGCAGTTCAAACCCACCAGCAACTCCTGGGAAGGAAGATGGGGCAATCTACTTCTATAGTGATAACTGCCTCGGAAACCCAAGGAGGGTTCGCTATGACTCGGGTCTGACTCGACAGCACATAATAACAACAACATATATTACTTGGTTCTACAATCAACACCAATGGAGGCAGCAGTCAAGGTATCAGACGATCTATAGCATTGTGCATATCTGCTGCAAAAGACCCCTTTCAGGTGCTGAAGAGCAGAGATATCTCCTTGAAGATTAAGGTGTGCCTATATGAGCTATGGTATTTCCAATCACCTCATATGTTTGTGAGAGCCAGAGAGTGAATAAGGATGCCCAAAGAAGAATCAATGCTTTTACATTGTAGTGTTGGTGAAGAATGCTGAAAGTACCATGGACTGCTAAAAGAACTAACAAATCTGTCCTGGAAGAAGTGTAGCTGGAATGCTCGCTGGAAGCAAAAATGGCCAGACTTGGTCTCACTTACTTTGGTCACGTTGTCAGAAGGGACCATTCCCTGGAGAAGGATATCATGCTTGGTGAAGTGAAGGGTCAGTGAAAAAGGGGAGGGATCTCAACATGATGAAATGACACAGTGGCTACAACAATGGACTTAGGTACAGCAGGGATCTCGTGGGGCTGGCACAGGACTGGGCAGTGTTGCGTTCTACTGTCCATAGCGTCACCATGAGACTGAGATGGTTTGACAGCACCTAACAAAACATAACAAGAATATATGGTCATTGGTATATTCCCTTTTGCATAGACATACTTGATCATTCAGCCTGTTTATCCATCTCGTTACCCATAGATTAATGTGTGTCATCACTGATAATGCAGGATTTTATATCCAGAAGGGTTCATCTTTGTTGTCGGTACCTCTTGTGTACCTCTCTGGAGCTCTCTCTTCCTCGTTGCCACCGTGTTGGTCAGTTCAGGGCCACAGGTCGCCAGTATTCTTGTGCCACCTCTGCTCCTTTCATGGTTATAAAGAGCAAAACTTTTATTCTGCACCTTATCCCAGTTGTTTTAATCTCTTTCGCCTTCACCTGTCCTTTTTCTTGTGGAGTGTCACGGTGGGCCCTATGCAAGCCCATGTCATTGTTCACAAGGAAATGATGATGCAGTTGAGGGCACTGCTGTCATTTCTGCTGTGTTTTCTAATTGTTCTACACCATAAAGAGAGTGCAATAAGGCTGCGTCTGTTCAGGCAAACTGTGGAGACATTCTTTCACTGTGTTGGAAGTTTGGGAGAAAGGAAGTAATCAGTGAGGAAGTAAATGTCATTAGTAAAGGTATAAAACTGCTGATGTCTATACCCTAGATTATACCTCAGTATAACACAGAACCTAGTATCAGGTACGTACAATTCTAGTTCCCTAGGACTGCCAGAAGGAGTTCTGGTAGTGCAGTGCCTAAGGCATTTGACTACTAACCATAAGGTTGATGGTTGAAACCCACTAGCAGCTTCATGGAAGCAAAATGGGGCAATCAACATCTGTAAAGATTTACTGCCTTGGAAGCCTAGTGCGGCAATCAGTATGAGTTGGAATCGACTCGGTGACAGTGAGTTTGAATTTTCCGGTGTGGAGTACTGTCAGTCAGCCTCACTGTTTATGCTGTACACATTGGAGTCCATGGTCCCTTGCTGATCCAGAATGTGTGGGCTGTTTTAGGACTCAGTGGTCATGGAGGATGTGGCCGTGGTTTTTACCCAGGAGGAGTGGGCTCTGTTGGATCATCCTAAGAGGAAACTGTACAGAGATGTGATGCTGGAAACCTTGAGAAATCTGTACTCTGTGGGTAAGAATGTCACCTTTTTTTTTTTTTTAAATTGTTGTGAGGTAAAATATTTTGCTCATTGATTATGCTCAAGTATTTGCGCTGAGGATTAATTATAAGTTCTTAAATAAAACAGCCATGCTTCCTCTGTGGAGCTCATGTATCCTGACTTCCCCAGGGGCAGAAATTTCTACATAATGAAAATGAGTTGACATTTCTCTTGTGATTAAAATTTCTTAGTTTATGAGTATAAACATTTACTTCACAGTTACTTTTGGGAACTGAGAGATTTGTAATTGGGAACTTGTGGAGAGTTGAGTGTGTTGATTCCAAGTTTGACAGGCTCATTTTACCACCAGTGAACTCACACTTGTTCATCTTCAGAGACCCAAAGAATAAAAGTATTGATTCAGTGCTAAGCAAATGTCCTTTGCTCTTCACTGTCTTCCCTCACGATAGCATTTCCCCATGAGCACTGTGTCAGCTATACCCATTTGTTTTCCCGCAGAAGCAAGGGAAAGATCTGAAGAAAGTAGAGACAGATGTCACACTGTGTTGTGAAGGACTAGGAAAAGAAGCTATTGAAGGACCAGTCCTGCTTAGAGGGGATTATATTTGAATCCTTCAGCCATAAAATGTCTCTTTTGGGTTGACACAATTCACAGATCCCCGAGTTTCCTTTTCTGCTTTAATAATCCACCCGCACATCCCATCATGGAGACTCTTTTCCTCTTTGAATATTACATGGGTATTTGACCCAACATCTTTGAATATAACGCTGCTAATGGCATATACTCGGAAGGAAGGTTGGGCAATCCTACTTCCGTAGTAATACTGCCTCGGAAACCCAAGGAGGGGTCGCTATGAGTCAGGGCTGACTCGACGGCACATAACAACAACAACAACAACAACAATGGCATATATGTATGTCACCATTGCTCTCAGTTCTCATGGAAGTATTTCACTCAACATTGCTTTTTCACCATTACCAAAGGGGCTGAAACTGTGAAATATGGCCAAGTCTTTCTTACCAACAGATATTTTTGCTTTATGGCTTTTTATATGTTTTCTACTTTGAAAACCAAAATCAAAACCAAACTGAGTGCCGTCAAGTCAGACCTGACTCATGGCAACCCCTTCTTGGGTTTCTGAGGTGGTATCACTACGGAAGTAGATTACACAATCTTCCTTTTAAGGAGTGGCTGGTAAGTTTGAACTGCCAGCCTTCTCGTTCCAGTCAAATGCCTTAAACAGTATGCCACCAGAGCTCCATCGTATTGTGAACATCCACCTAAATTATTCTTTCAGATTCAAACAATAATGATGGAGAAAACTTATCCAATGAACATATAAGAATGAGATTCATAAAGAATAACATCTGGTCCTCCATCTTAGGAGAAATCTCTGAATCCCATGGCAATGGAAATCAGCATAATGGTGAGAGAAGCTATTTGAGGTGAGTTTCATTTAAAGATGACAAAACAGTGCTTCGGGACAAAGTCCCAAGGTGTCATAGCCTTAAAATACACACACACACACACACACATATGTATGTGTGAATGTCTATGTACAAAATCAGGCCTTTGGATTAGTTTGTATCAGTGTGATTTTCCATTTTGATTCATGTAGGAAAGTCATTGGTTCCCCACTCAAAGATGGTGGCTGACCACACTGCCTGAAAATACGTTGCTTTTCCAGAGAGCTGCCAGTCATCCTATTTTTGCGTAGATCCCAAAAGTTGTAGGATGGTGAAGTGGGAGATTGCATTATTGCCTGGCTGTAGTAAGTGATATGCATTCACAGTGGAACAATTTTCAGTTATCACAGAGAGGGGCATGGCTTTTTGTGTCCCACTTGAGTCAAATGATTTGGGAAGAAGATATGTTTGGTATGCAACATGTACACTTCCCTCTTTTAAATTGCTGAATAGTTGGGGAAGTTGTTTGAAGACTTAGTAAATAATAATAATTTATGTAAATATATACACACACACACAAACATGTATATACATGCATGTGTGTATGTGCATTATATATACGTACACATATATGTACGTATATATATGTGTGTATGTAGAGTGTTTTAAAATTATATTTTCTGAGAAATTTTACACAACTCCATTTTCAGAAATGTGACTTAGATATTACCTAGGAGCTCCAGTAGCACAGTGCCTAAGGCACTTGACTACTAACCAGAAGGCTGGGGGTTCAACCTACCAGCCACTCCTCATAAAGAAGATGGGACACTCTATTTCTATAGTGATTCTGCCTAGGAAACCAAAGGTGGGGTTTCTGTGAGTTGGGTCAGACTCGGTGGCACATAACAACAACAGATATTACTATTTGAAACATAGATCATGGGAGCCCAATTATGAAAAGCCTCCTAATTTAGATAAACAATATGTAATGGAAGTATTTCCACTACTTGATAATAATATATGAAACCTGAGGCATGCCATGAGAAAAACCACACACTTTCACTCTGGTTCATTACCTTGAAATGAAAACAAATTTATTTCCAGTAGTATGTTTTCTATTTTTAACAGAACTCCTACAGGACAGAGCATCTGTGAAAGTAATCAAGGTAATAATTGTGGGAACAGCTTCCCACAGATTCCTAATCTTAACTTGCCTACAAAAATATCCTCCTGCAGTAAATACTTTTGAATGCTTTGAGTGTGGAAGGACTTCATGGATGAGTAATTACATATTAATCCTTTTAGATCTTACACTGGATACAGCACCTGTCAGGAAAATGAATGTGAAGAGGCCTGCACTTGTCTGTCTCAGCTAACTACTTCTATGAGCACTCTCAATGGAAAGAAACCCTGTAAATGTAAGGAACATGGGACCCATAAATGTAAGAAACTTTGGAAGGACATCATTTGTATCTCAACCCTTAAGGATCCTGCCACAAAACCTACTGAAAAGAAATGCTATGAATATAACAAATGTGGGGAAAACTTGTGTAGTTTCTCCTCCTCTTCTACACATGTGAAAGGTCATAAGCGTGAATGTTGTAAATCCTATAGTCCTCCTTCATCCCTTGTTTTACATAAGACATTTCATAAAAAAGATAAGCCTAATGAATGTAAGGAATGTGGAAAAGCCTTTAGACATTCTTTCTCTCTAACTCAACACAAGCGAACTCACACTGGGGAGAGGCCTTATGCATGTAAAGATTGTGGGAAAACCTTTACTCAGTCCTCAAGCTTCAGTAAACATAGAAGAATTCACAGTGGAGAGAGGCCATATATATGTAAGGAATGTGGGAAAGCCTTTAGTGTGTCCTCAGCCCTCACTCGACATATACGAAGTCATAGTGGGGAGAAACCTTATCAATGTAAAGTATGTGGGAAAGCCTTTAGTCACGCCTCATCCCTCACTATACATAGAAACACTCACAGTGGATTGAGGCCTTATAAATGTAAGGAATGTGGGAAAGCATTTTATCGTTCTTCACACCTCAGTTCTCATATGAGAACTCACAGTGGAGAGAGGCCATACGAATGTAAGGAATGTGGGAAAACCTTTGCTTATTCCTATTGCCTCTCTGAACACCTAAGAATTCACAGGGGAGAGAGGCCTTACGTGTGTAAGGAGTGTGGGAAAGCATTTTATCGTTCTTCACACCTCAGTTCTCATATGAGAACTCACAGAGGAGAGAGGCCATTTATATGTAAGGAATGTGGAAAAGCCTTTAGTCATGCATCATCCCTCAGTATACATAGAAGGACTCACAGTGCAGAGAGGCCTTATGAATGTAAGGAATGTGGGAAAAGCTTTAAATATTCCTCAGACCTCACGAGGCATTTAAGAACACACAGCAGAGAGAAACCTTATGTATGTAAGGAATGTGGGGCATCATTTACTGTCTCCTCAGTCCTAACTCGTCATATACGAATTCATAGTGGAGAGAGGCCGTATGAATGTAAGCAATGTGGGAAAGCCTTCAGGGACTCCTCACACCTCACTAGCCATTTAAGGACTCACAGTAGAGAAAGGCCCTTTGAATGTATAGAATGTGGTAAAGCCTTTAAGCAGGGTTTGTACCTCACTGTACATAGAAGGACTCATAATAGAGAGTCCTTTTGAATGTAAGGAATATGAGGCAGTTCTTCATAACTCAATTACAAGAAGTCACAGTGTAGTCTTGAAAAGTAGAATTTTTATCTTTATTGCTGTAAATTTAAATAACAGGTTTCCAACAATCTGCAAGTAAAGAACAAAATTTCTCAGTGAGTAAGATAGCAATTCTAACTGAAAGGAAGGGTTTGTAGAGTACATTGTGCCTTTGGGAGATCTGATGGTGTCACTGTAACTAAGCGACTGTCATCATCAATGTCTTTTTACTTTCTGAGACTAATTAAAATTTTACGTCTCTTGAAGTCTTTAACTATAGCTAAATAAATAGCTATAGCTATCCTCCAAAACCAAAACTCAACACTGTGGATTCAGTTCAACTGATATTGACCCCTCCATGGTTTTCCGATGTGGTATCGCTACAGAAGTAGATTGCCCAGTCTCACTTCCAAGGAGTGGCTGGTGGGCTTGAATGAAGAGCCTTCTGGTTAGCATTCAAATGCCTGAAGCACTACGCCACCAGGGATATACATACAAATAAAAATATGAGGACTATCCTTTAGCAAATGTGGTTTAATATTTTATGATCTTTTTCATGTTACTTTTAATACAATTAAATACACTTAAGTTCTGTTAGGTTTAAGGGTTTTGTTTTCATATTTAAGACATTTTCTTCCATTTACTATAATAACATGAACAGTTTTTCCATTTATAATGTTAGTAAATTTCTCAGAGTGATATTTTCAGAATGTACAAATAATTTTTTTTATCATACTTTTACCTACTTATTTTTCATTAGTAATTAAAATCATTATTACCTAGGATTATTATTTACTGTGGTGTTTACTAATAGTAATGTTTGTTGTAATCATTTCATCTATATTCATTAGCTGGAATTCTACAAGAAATCCTTTTTCCTTCTCTTGTTTATTCTTTTAATTGTTTATTCTAGTACTTGTGAGTCAGGGACACATGTATGGAATGGAAGCTGCCCAGGCTACATTTTCTTTGTGATGACTACACTTCTCACAAATGACTTAAATTAACTTTACTGTTAAACCAAACCAAACTCACTGTTGTCGAGTTGGATCCACTCATAGCGAGCCTTCCTTGGGTTTCCAAGACAGCATCACTGTGGAAGTAGATTGCACAATCTTCCTTCCAAAGAGTGTCTGGTGGGTTTGAACTGCCAGGCTTCTGGTTAGCAGTCAAATACCTTAGCCACTATGCTACCAGAGCTCCCTTAAAAATACAAGTAGTTTTTAAAATACTAAAAAATGTAGAACACAAACATATTATATAGAAAATGCTTAGTACATTTGTAAGGTAAAAGTCCTAAGTAAGTAACAACCCCCAACCTTACTGTTAGGAACTGGAAAATTGTGATATATACTTAAGTTGGACATTTGGATGTTTAAAAGCCTTTGCTGATAACAATTACAAAGCATAACAAATGGTGACCAACAAAACTGCTATTAGGAAAGTATGAAATCACCAGACAGTTTATTGCAGGTTCTAGAGTATGGTGTCAGCACATGAAATCCTGTAATAGTGTCCATATTGATCTGCATACAAGCAGATGCCTGGCCTGATCTGGAAGACAGGACCACAATGAGCTGAGAATTCAAATAAGGAAAGTATGAAGTCTGTTCACCATATTTGCCAGCTGTATAGCTTCTGCATTCTATCCTTGTAGTTGTTATAATTCAACTGGAAAGCATTGGCAGTCCAGCTAGCTTGCTGTATTCCTAGTTGCTGTCCCACTGGACAGCTTTGTGCATTGTTTAATTAAAGGTATATTCTTAATAAACCACTTCTTTCTTGCCGTAAGATGAGAGCCCCTTTCAGGGTTTGTATGGTCTGGTCCCTCTCTAGTAACACAGGCAGTCTCTGTTTCTAACTCTCCCTTGAAAATTTAATTTGTACATAAGTTCAAACAAGTACTGTTCATATCTAGCATCAGTCATACGGTCCTTTTTTTTTTTTTTTTTTGATAATATATTGTACTATTTTCTCTGCAAAAAATGAAAAAGCTTCCAGATATTTTACAATATCTTTACATAATGAGTAATAATAAAAAATAATGTTTTTATGTGCAGCACAATATAGTACCTGTATTTTATGAACCTTTGCCCCTTCATTGGATTATCTCTTGGTACAACCCTTCCATCCCAACTTGAGAATGGCAGGCGGCCACATTGTGTGCCACTGTGCATGCTTACCTGTACTGTGGTGTGGGCGTCAGACAGAGAGAAGCACAGAATATACAGAGCATTATGTCATATAAGCATTGTCCTCTGCTTCAGTCTGAGTGGCGAGAGGGATCGCCTCAAGGACATCACCACACTTGGGCAAGTGATTTATGACTTTACTACCTGCTGAAGTGGGTTGTATTTTATACAAGGCTTTATGAGATTGGGTTCATAACTAGTTGTCCTGTGGTTTCCAGACAGATAGACATATAAGGTGAATATTTCCACCAAGGATGTAGACTCCTTACAGTAATCCACCATGGGAGATCAGAAGTGCAATATTTGCAAGGGAGATAGCTCAGAGGACAGAAATGCATATGAAAGAACAAAACAGAAAAAGGAAACCACAGGGAGGAAGTTGGAAGAGAGGTGTTCCATTGAGGATTGTAGTCAATGTCATGAACAAAATGTGTATGAAATGTATGGGAAATAATTCTGCTCTGTCACCTTTCAGTCATATCAGAATAAAACCAAAAAAGAAAAAAAGTGCCGTATTAGAAACCCAGTGGAACCATTCCTCTTGAGAACAGTAACCAGACAAGGATGCCTGCTATCACCACTTCTATTCAACATTGTACTGGAAGTCCTATCCAGGGCCATAAGGCAAGAAAGGGAAATAAAAGGCATCCAAATTGGTAAGGAAGAAGTCAAACTACCCTATTTGCTGATGATATGATCCTACCTAGAAAACTCAAGAGACTCAGTCAAAGACCTACTGGAACTAATTGAGAGATTTAGCATCATGGCAGGATATAAGATCAGCATCCAAACATCAGTTGGATTCCTCTACACCAGCAAAGAGATTGCTGAAAAAGAAATAAGGAAATCAATACCATTCTCAATAGCTACCAAAAATTAAAATACTTGGGAATAAATTTTACCAGGGACACAAAAGACCTGTACAAAGAAAACTATAAAAAACTACTTCAAGAAACCATAAGAGATCTTCATAAATGGAAGAACATCCCATGCTCATGGATAGGAAGATTGAACATTGTGAAAATGTCAGTTCTATCCAAAGCAATCTATACATTCAATGCAA